AAAATAGATAAATAAAATTTAAATAAAGTAATAAATACATAGGCCTGTTTATAAGCTTAAACATCCCAAACATTTTTGACTTAAAATATTTTCAAAAAAATGCCAATATCAGTCATACAGAACTAAACTGATCATGTACAGTATCGCACAAACTAAATCAAAATAAAAATTCAAGATAGTCTTGAAATATAACACAATCAATTAAAACATTGAAGTTCACGTTTAACATGATCCAATATCAAAGATGTCGACCATTTCCAAATTTTACCACAGACGTTTCTTAGGTTCAGTACAGTACATGCATGAGTGAATTTCCTTGCAAAGCTGTTGGACAAGACGTTCTCATCTTACAGGCCTATTTGAAAATGTTGAAATAATCTACTGTCCACTCTCATTGTCATGAAGTAAACATATTTGAAAATCCCATGTGTAATTTAATTTAAAGTTCAAGACTTTAGATTAAATTAACGAGCTCGTCTTAATCCAATAAAATCTTTAAAAGCATTTTAACAAAGATTTCTACTCTATAGCAATTTGATTGTTAGGTAATGGCCATTGTGGGACTGAGGACACAGAAGAAGTCTGATTCAATTATTAGACATTTCACATGTAAACACCACTCATAGGCTTCAAATATTTTGACATCATCATCATCATATTTATCTTCTCAGTAATCATCATTATCATTATCATCCTCCTTATCATAATCATCATCATATTTATTATCATCATCTTTGTCATCATCTTTATAACCATATTTATCATCATCACCACCATCATCATCTTGTATCATCATCATTATAATCTTTATTATCATCATTATTTTATAATTAGGCCTATCCCCTTTATCATTATAATCTTTATCATCATCATCTTTATCATCAACCTTTTTATCAACATCAGAAATGCTATTTATTATGTTCACTTCAACTTGATTATATGTCATTTTTCAGCTCCTGTTTGCTATATTTTGAGTGTAGGCCAGAATAAATTAAATAATTCAAAAATTAATTATTTATTTATAATATGCGATTAAGAAAAACATTTTTACAGCATCCATGTACAAACATGATACTATTGATTGACCATACAATATTGATAAATGTTGAAGGTGTTACGTGATATGAAGTAATAATTGATTGAGCAGTTTGTATATATCTCATTATGGTATTGAATAATTCAATGAATTTTGTACAACTATAATTAATTTAATTCAACTTAATTCAATGATTTACTTAACAAAAACATCAATCTTTCAGTACTTGGACAACTGAGGGAAGGTACGTTTTGTTCAAATTCTAAGTGTTTCTTTAACTTGATCCAAAACTCTACCCAGCAGTAGCGCCAGCGTCTGAAATTGGGGAGGTAGGAGAGTCAAAGTCAAGTAACGGGCGATGTAAACATGATATGATGTAATAATTGATTGAGCAGTTTGTATACATCTCATTACGGTATTGAATAATTCAATGAAGTTTGTACAACTACAATTAATTTAATTCAACTTAATTCAATAATTTACTTAACAAAAACATCAATCTTTTAGTACTTGGACAACTGAGGGAAGGTACGTTTTGTTCAAATTCTAAATGTTTCTTTAACTTCATCCAAAACTCTGCCCAGCAGCAGCGCCAGGGTCTGAAATCTGGTGGAGGTGGGAGAGGCAAATAAAGGGCGATGTAAAATTTTATGGGGGAGGGGGGAGAAATATGCTGAGGGTGGCCCAAAGTCGGCATGGTGGGGCATTGCTCAAAATGTTTTGAAAGTGGTCCAGGTAGCCTAGTTTGGGTGGGAAAACTGGGGGAGAAAGAAAATTATCTGTATAAGAGACTGGAATTAATACACCTCAGGCCGAAACCAAGGTCCTGTTATATATGTGAGCCAAATCCTTCTTTTCAGAGTGAACTCCTCTAACAAACCGAACTGAAATTCACCATTTCCTTTGTAGAGAAAGCAGCAATCCCAGAGATCCACTAAGCTCTTCTGGATTGAACCAGAAACTAGATATCTCCAGGAGTGTACTACTCAAGCCCTCTCAGGATACCCCTCCTTTACTACATAGAATCCTGCTTCATGGCCTACTGTAGTACAGCATTTTAGATATATGAATTATTTGTTGGTCTGTGTTTCACTAATAATGACCTGGTGTATACAGTATGTAGCAAATAGAATTTTAATTGAATTTTGAATGAAAATTGTCTGCCAAAACATATGGAAAACTTATTTTAAGCATGCACTGAACTGAAAGCATTGCAGCTTTTAAAGCTAGGCTGTTGAGGGAAAAATGACATAAAAAGGGTGTTTGTGATGGAAAACTTGGGTACGGTTAATGACATACAGATTTTTAAAGATTTAAAAACTGGTGTGGAGGGGAGGGGGAATGGTGGAAAAAAGGTGGTTACATTCCTTTTCCATCATCTCCCCCTCTCCCCTCCCCCAATAGTTTTTAAAATATTCAAAAATCTACATGTCATTAATCATTCCCAAGTTTTTCATCCCAAGTTTTTCATCAAAAAAGCAGCTTATTGTCAAAAATAAGTTTGTCTTCAAAAAATGAGTTGCTCAACACATCAAAGCATTATTTTTCCAATGGAGCGTTACTTTAATGTGAGCCAACTAAAAATATGAAGACAGGTTGCTAGACATGTGCTGTAGGGAAGCAAGGCGATATTAACTACCTGGATGGGAAGACACATGTGTATGATATCAGAGAGTTTTAATAAGTTTTCTACTGTGGATAATCATTACCACTGGAACCCTCCGGGGACGTACATCAAAAGCCAATGGTGTAGTAATAAGCAATGTATTATAGAGAAGCCTGCCAGAGGGTTAATCGTCCTTTTTTTGTAGTGTTAGCCAACCAACCTGAATCAACATTTAACTGAGAGGGATGAACAGATGGCTGTTCTCCAGGGAGGCTTATCTGAGCCTAGTAATTTTGATGACAATTAAAAAAAAAAAAAATCTTCATGTTGTTTCTATAGCTTTAATGTGATATTTGACCATATATGGATGGGATGACATCATATCCCAATATGTCGGCATATCACAGATATTTGTCACAGAAAATTTAGTATAGTAGTGTGGAATTTAAAGAGATTTTTATTATTTGTTATATTTTACATTTTCTGGACATCTTTTATAACTTTTTAATATATTTTTCAATATTTATATCAATAAGTTAATGTCTGCATTTGATAATGAATTAATTTGTTATGGAATATTCATTTTGTAATACTATTTTTATGGAGATTTAAATTAAATTTAGAATCTCATTTTCACGGAAGTTTGAATATAATTAAAAGCTTAAATTTTTTATTTATTTATTACAAGAATAATGCATCTTACCTGTATATTTATGGCTTGTTATTTGTTTATTGAAATTTGAATTTAATTTTTAATAATATTCTGTGTAAGCTTTTAGCTGGTTAGTTTTGCATAATTTGTTCATTGTGAACAGCCCAGGAAACTTTCCTCTCACTAGTGAAACTAATAAGACAAGCAGTTAGTTTAACGAATGCCTAGTAAAACTGATCAGGTTAGTTTTACTGAGCCGAAAATTCCAATGCAAACACGTTGAACTTCCCGAGTCATTCAAGCGTTGCTAAATGGATTATATCAGAGATCTACGGCCCTGGATTATGTCTTGGATTAGTACCCCTTGATACCACTTTTTTTTTTTTTATAAGAACACACTTTTTTTTTTTATAAGAACACATTTTATAAGAACACTGAGGCTAAAATTGCTTAAAAATTAAGAACAAAATAAGAACAAATTGAGGCTGTGGTCAAATGAGACTTTTATTTAAGAACAAAAATAGAAAACCAAAAACAAAAAATGATATCTGTACTTTATGTGCAGTAGTGACTATGTAATAACCTCTATAATACAGTACATTAGGTGTGCCTACTTCATTTGGGCCATTTTTACTGGGGCCTTCTTTCTGGGGCCATCCTTTCTAGGGCCTTTTTTCAGGGGCGATTTTTCCTGGTCCTACATTTCAGTACAGTGTATACTGCTATAAAATTATAATTTTCTATGTTTGAAAATTGTGTAAAATAAGAACAAAATAAGAAAATTTTGAGCCTGAAATCAGCCAAAAAATAAGAACAGTGAGCCTGGGCAAAATTTACTGGTTCTTATTTTTTAAAAAGGTGTGGACAGCGGTAAGGTTCACCCTTTGGAATATTACCCACAGTCGCTGTAAAATCTTCCCTTTTTTAGTTTAGTGCGATTGCAGCTTAGTCATTAAAATATAATATAATATTCTAGCAATAGTGCTTCCAATGTGGAACTCCAGACATAAAAATCCGATGAGTCCAAGTGAAATATAACATTGGTTGCAATCTCATACAGTGTTGAAGTTGCCTGAAATGTCATGCTATCCTTGGGCATATGCACCTGCTCAGGAAATTCAAGCAAGATTGACTTGGGTAGAAACAATTTAAAACAATGCATGCTTTTTAAATGTGCGATATTGTAATAACAATGCACTGGTAGTGTGTCCAGTTGCTTAATAAAAGTACAGTTGACCCCAGAGATAACTAATTATTTTTTACGGGAAGATTGAAGTGATTCTGTGCCTACAGGATTTAGAACATAATAAGAATTTTTGCCACTGTAAATTTTAAATTTGAATAATTATTTAAGTTTGATTACAAAGAACACATATCCCCATTATTCCATCATTGTCCCCACCATTAATTTAAAATTTCCTACCATCTTTTACTCTGTTATACAAAGTCTCCAACCATACCACTTTAAGTATTGATTGTAGGTGATGTGAATAAGCTTTTTGGTTGGTCATGGCATTAGTTTAACATAATTATTTGTTGATTTTGTGATCTTAATGGATTCTGAATTTATTATAAATGTACTGTTAATACATTATGTGTGATTTGCATAAAGGGTTATAAGCTGCTTTTTGCTTCCATTTTAATGCTAGTCACACATTGACAGTCTGTACAATGCATGTACAGTACTTGTAAGAGATGATTTTTAGATGAGATTAGCTATTGATACAGCACAAAGGTAAACTTAATTTCACCTACTACCCCCAGGTCTTTATATCTACCTTATAGTAGTAGTAGTGCTGTTTTTCCCTTTGGCTTCTTTTGATTGCACTTCATTTATTTATTTTCCTGTAAATTTTAGTAGGAAAAACTGAAGTTCATCCATTTTTAACATTATAATAACTTTAATAAATCAATGCATCAACACAGACACCCTAATGCTCTTTTCTAATGTAGAACTGGAGACAGACGAACTAAAACCTACAATAAAGGTTGTCACGGCACAGTGGAAACTCATTTAAGGTTTGGGAAAGTTTCATCTGAGCGAGGATGATAATGATATCCATATAAAACTATATGGCTGTTGCACCTCTTTGTTGTAAAAAATTCAAAAAGTTTTCATGGCATAGGAGAACTTGCAACCACCAGCACTAATGCCGTCAAGGTGTAGCTTAGTAGAGTGGTCAATAGTTACGTATTTTTATAGCACCTTCCACAGTAAAAACCGTCTCAAGGCGTTTTGTAGCCACAAGAAACTAAAATTTAATAGATATACACGCGCAAATGCGAAAGGGAGGAAGAAGGTGCACACCCCCGATTTTGAGATGTCATCGCCATCACTACTGTGTACGCGCAGGTAATTCGGTGTCAGTATGCTGGGCTCTCGGTAGCGTCCACCTCTGGCTCTACTACTGTGCACTGCTAAGTTGGCAGTGACACCTCAAGTAAGGTGCAACTTTTTCAGGGTGAAATAATTAACTAAAAGGTACCCCAGCATGGTCTGAGACCATGCTGGGGGCCCGAGACAAAAATGTACAGTTTTTTGCAGATCTAATTTTGATAGTAATCATTTAAATTAAGTATAGGAAAGTTTCTAGCTGTGGGGAATTAGCCCATATTCCCATCGGGACTCTGCCCATGGGCCTCTGAACCCCATCATTAGGGCTTTGGTAGGTGGCTACACTGCCCCAGGGCCCAGGGACATTTTTGGCAGTCCCGACTTTTGAACATGTAAGAATTAAAATATTTTTTTACAGATTGCATCTGATACCAAATTTCTACATGTGTGGTTAGGAGCATTATGATAGAGTAGTCATCTATTCTATTTCTATAGCTTAAGAATGTGTGCATCATTATAATTGATGACAGTATTTTTGTTCATTGAACCAATTAACTGGATGGATAGTGCTAGAAATAGATTTATCTGTTTAAATAATTCAGGAATTCCATATATTTGTATGCACTCTGGGGGGGAAAAAATCAGCTTTTTGGATTTATGTGTATCAAATGTCTACCCCTTAACCCTTTTGCTGCGTGCCCTCGGTTACTACCAGGGATAATTAGACGTCGTTGAACCTGTCTCTTATACACATCTGGGGTGGAATCAAAATAATTCTTTAAAAATACTTGTACTAACATCTGCCCTCTATAGTTTTTCTATCAACTGGAATATTTTTCCTTATTGATAATTGTGTTTACCAGCAATATGGTGGGTACACAACTTCGAAAGAATCCATACAATGTGAATGAAGTTGTGGATCAGATTTTGCTGATACAGATAGTGAGGACGACTTTGATTTGGACAGTTCAGTGAATATGTGTTCATCAGCTGACTATAGTTCCAATAGTGATTCAATAGCTGAATTTGTGGATTTGGAGGTCCTTGCACAAGCATTTTTTTTTCCAGGCCTGGTAATTCGTGACGTTTCTATAACATTTTTTCATGTGCTATAGAATTGTAAGTAAAATAATCAGTGTTTTACCAGTTTAGCGAAAGTTATAATAAGGTATTGATGCCTTAAGGTGACAGGATTACATTATTTGACTGATTTTGGAAAAGTAAACAAATGAGTGTTGCTGTTGGGTTTGCCACCCATCGGTTAAAATATGGAGTTGTTGCATTCTTAGCATTCAGACAACAATTTCTATAAAAAGTGGTATGCTGTTTCTACAGAATACAATAAATTTGTTTGAAATATCCAAATTCAAGTGGGCCACACAGTTAGTATTCTCTTTTTCACAGTCAGTTGTTTTTTTCAATAATATAGGTTTGAATATCTTGTAAGAATGTGTATTGTAACCCTATTTAACCATTATGTTCCCAGATACTTTTGGGGAAAAAAATTACAAATTTTTTGGGTAGGAATTTAACCCACGAGTCAGATAACTAGCGTGGTGTCATAACCACTAGAGAGCCTAACTTGATTTTAGTGACTATAGTGTTGAATCCGATTCCCAATTAGCAGGTACTGCAATGCAATTTTGATGCTATTTCAGTATTGTCAGTGGCGGATCCAGGGGTTTCAGGGGGTTTGGATGAAAACCCACCCCTATGTGGGGAAAAAAAAAATACTACTGGGTCTTTTCCTACCATTGGCATGCTAACCTAGGCATAGGTTGGCAGATGGGACAAACTCGACTTAGCCCAGCCTAACTAGCCTTCAAATAAATGATGTACCCATATATAGTCATGGTATGCCTATATATGGTCATGATGTGATCATCATGACCATATTTAGGCATGTCACATGTGTTTGTCAAACAACATTTGAAAAGCCTATACAGGGCTTAACATCGGTCTATTCGCTTTAATGTTATTTTCAATACTTAATATTATTGAACAGAAAGTGTGAATTTTCTTCTTGATCATTCACATATTCCTAATAAAATGATTCAAAGCTGTCTTCAACTCCTTGGTGAAAACCAAACAGTATGGATAATTGCAAATGCACTGTTTTAGGTGTTTTGAAGAATAATTACTACATGATTTACTATTTGATATATTGATAATTTAGTAAATTATTAAATCAAAGAGACGGTTATTAAACTAGAATTTCTATGGTATCGAAATAATTAACGGTAAATGTATGTGTATCTTGTAACAGCTTCATTAACAAAAACATACTTCAAGAAGGCTGTGAGGACACATTTATTAAAAAATTTTCTTTCTCTCCTATTTTAGACTTTTAGTTGGTGCACCAATTTATGATGGCCATAAGGTTGAAAATGTAACAAAGCCTGGAGAAGTCTTTAGATGTCCATATACAACTCTTTCAGAGGATTGTGTGTCCTTAAATCTAGATAATACAGGTTGGTAATTCAAGACAACTAGTTTCTATATTTCAAACAGAATATGCACTGTGGCCTACATGAAAAATAAGTTGGTAAATAAAAATCTAGGAAATAAACGGAATTTGTGACATTGATATCATCCCTCTCTTTAACTACCAAAACATTTAAAATCACATTTAAACTGTATTTTTAACATTGTAAATAACAGAACCGCAATCCTTATTGTTTAAATTATAACTATTTTTTAAATACCATATAATTACTGAATTATATAACAATAATAAAGCTTTTTTGATCATTTTTATTTTAATGAATTTAAACAATAATTTTATAAATTGTTTTTAATTTAAGTAATTTTTCCAATCGTTTGATTTTAATGTCGCAATTAATTTAAATGGATTTGTTTTTTCTTTAAATTTTTATAAAATAAATTTTTATAATCTGAATTTTTAATTACTTTTTTAAATTGAAAATTTTACTGTTATTCCTTAAAATTTCTTTGATGTGCTGCATCCTTTCATTTGTTTGACTTTCTTTTGTAAAGTGTAATTTTAATGTAATTTAAATTATTGGTGAGATTTTTTTAGTGGTTAGGGTTTAAGTTAGTGCAATTTTCAATTTTTTCTTTCTGTTTTGAGGAACCCAATGGAAATAAGTTTACTTGTAAATTTTCTTGGGTATATTGCTGAGTTCATTCAGTTGATATTGTACTTTGTACTTTTTATCTGTTTCTGTGCTTTTGTAATGTTTTTCTTTTTTTTATCTCTTTGAATGAACTGAATAAATTAAAATGAAGTTTTACCTTTTGCCGCAGGTAATAGTCCATTAGAGAACAAAACTGACCAATGGCTGGGGGTGAACGTCCGCAGTGAGGGGCCAGAAGGACGAGTTGTGGTAAGTCATCGATGACTGTCAAATTCTAAACTGTGATGATTATTTTTATCTTTTTAAAAATTATTGTGATGGCGATCATAGAGAGGCTATAGATTTTACTGTTCCCCGACTCTAGAGCAGTCAATATTTGTTTTATATACCTCATACATAGATTCTACAAGTCCTAAAAAAGTAATGAAAATAGTACACACCACGTAAGCCTAGCTACTTCCAAAGCCTAGGCGATCAAAGGGCCAATCTCCCTCAGCGTTGTAGAAGTCGTGTCTCCTTTACCATTCATACGTGTCCTAAATTACATAGCAACAAGGCCTGGACATTGCATATCGCGCGGCAGGGCAAAAAAAGTACTATCATTTAGGGTGATTCTATTGCCTGCTTCTTAACCAATCGTATGCCTAGAATCTATGTATGCAGTATATAATACTTTTTATTGCCCGCTTCTTAACCAATCAGATGCCTAGAATCTATGTATATGGTATTAAATACTGTATAGTATCATGGTAACATTATTTAAGTCAAATTTAATGTAGTTCGTCCTCAAAATCAAGACCAGCTTTGGGACCTGAAAATTTGTGCTCTTTTTTTTTCGTTTAAAAAGATTGTTCTTTGAAAAATAGTGGTCTCGAATTAGAGGGGTCTTAATTTTGGAGGGTGCACTGTAGTAATTAAATATACTACCCATATACCTTTGTATTATTTATGAAGGAATGAATGATTATTACTAATTAATCAATGTATTAATTTGCTGTGATTCGCAGGTGTGTGCTCATAGGTACCGTATAGCGCAACCAGGAGGTGGCATTAAGTGGGGCCTAGGCAAGTGCTACATAATCAATCAGAACGTTTATGATCTAAGCTTTGTTGAGTCTCGGGATCCTAAGGGCAAAGAGTGGATCCCCTGCTACACTGAACAAATGGATTTGGATTGGTATGGATATTGCCAGGCAGGAACAGGCCTTGGCTTGAATACAATTGATAGTATGGTATGTAAAATTTTTTTTGACTTAGCTCATGTATTTCTGTGGTTTTCTTGATAAAAGGAGAGCTAGCTGGCAAGAAGGTTATATGAAGTGATTTAAGAGACTGCTTAAATTTAATTGTTTGTTCAACAAATTTCCAGTGAGGGTTGGAGGAGGACCTGGGAGACACAAGTGTATTCCTTCAACTATTTATGTATTTTGTTTTCTTTTTAAATGATCTTTCAGCTTCCCACGGGTGGAGATTTGGAAGTACTAATTGGAGCTCCAGGATCTGTTTACTTTACTGGAACTACATTCAAAATTACCAGTTTAGAGGAGGGTAATTTCCCTGAAATCATCAGAAGTTCTTATACAGATTCCAAAGTCGCAGATACAACTGCAAGTTATAGTGGTAAGTATCAATTAACAATAATAATTAATAATAAGAATAATACTGTAATAATAATAGAATTTTTTGAATTTTTCAATTAAAAAAAAATAGGCCTATATATTGTAAAAGAATAAGGGAGGGAGAATTTTTATGTTTTTCTTCTTCTTCTACTGGGTGTAGGGCCAACTCCACAGTTGAAGGCTTCGGCCCGAAGGATGTGGACTACTCATTCCTACAACTTGCTTCTCCCCTAAGGGTCCTGTCGTGTCATGCGCAGGCCAAGAAGGCATGCCGTCTAGTCCACAGTGGGAGGGGCTGTGAGAATTGCCAGTACGTCTGGGTAGCCCTCTACTTGTTTCGAAAGATGTACTGGGTTCTTTATGTCGTGGTTCGGGAAGCCTCAGTATTGATTTAGTCCGGATTCGACCACTGAGGCTTGGTGGATGAGACCAAATACCCATTCAGAAGAACAAAATACGTTTTGAGACCAGACTGCAATTACTATCTTTTCTTTTATTCCGACGTACACCGTAACGCATATACACACAGTAACGCAGGTATTCACCATCCGATACAAACAAAAAAAACCCTATAATATATAATAGCATATTCATAAATATAATTATTATAAATATATCATTATCACAATAATTAACAATTGCAACAATTGACTAATTAATTATAACATAAGCATTCACAATTCAAATGCACTCACTATAACATTGTCACTTAAATGTCATAAAGCTACCGTATTACATTATGATGTGTATAAGAGACAGGTAACGAGCTCAATACCTGGATCAGTAACACCAAATTCATAGAACTAATTTCATGGCATAGCAAACACTCTTAATACCACATGTCACCACAGGACGAAACTAGACGTATTAAAACAAAGGTTAATTAAATCATTGTAAACGCATACATTGTACCGATTTTTAACAGTAGATTCCGTCTGTAGGCCTATTCTGATAAGCAAGACCAGAATACCAACTAGGCATGCATTACTCATCAGTACTATTATTAATTACAAATTAAATATATAATATCAATTTAACTAGTCATTATAATCAATAATATTACTGTATATAATCGCACACTATTATTAGGAATATATCAAGTTACTCACAGTATCGATAGTATCAGACAAGATTCATCTTAACAAAAAACAACGTCTTACTTCGACATAAACCAAAAACCTTCTGTCGATACAACGCTCACGCAGCCAATGCATTATATTCCCCACCTGGTATGCAAATGTACACACGAATACCAATAAAACAAAAGAAATAGCAATGCAATGCGCCACCAATAACGATAAAGAAAAAAAAAAAGAAATAACGGAAAACTTTCCGATCCATCACATTTATAGTGCACAAGAGCCGAAGGTGTACACTGGGGTTATGGTTTACCCTTATCCGAGAAGACTTAGAACCATAGGCGAGTGTGCCATTCGAACCAGCGCCAATATTATGACTAGGTTGCGATGCCCCTGCTTTAACTGCTTGACCATTCTACTCGCTCGCCAAATATTACCTGCATTGTTTGCAGGTGCAATGATGTTCAAAGTAAAATACATGATTGAGATAATACATACAATATCTACTACAGTAACTATTTGATAAAAATGGGCAAAAAAAATCAGAGGAGGAAAGAGAGGTAAGAAAGAGGAGAAATAATAGGAGGAAGAGGAGCTCTTATAGTGGGTATGGTAGCCACAAGTTGAGTTTGTAAATGAGTTGAAAATAGGGAGGTTTTGCATGCGAACGCATACAGTTAGTGTGACGTATACAGTACGTCGTCATTTGTGATGTCATACGCCGGTGGCTATCCGCATATGATGACACACGCATATCTCGCTCACTACACGTACGTGAAAAAAGCATGAAAACAATTTGTATTTCTAGTATGATATTTTTTTTTTTTCACATTTTAAAAATAAATGTATCTTTATAATACACACGTGCCATTTTTGTGCAGGTTACGATAGAATGTGTCTCATTTTGGGGTATTAAAAACGTTGGTGCTTGGTGGTGTCTGGATTTTCTTGTAGGCTTCGCTAGGGCCTCCCTAGCCAGGCATTTTGGGGTTACTAAATAATCAACTCTTCTGGCAAACAAGGTAAACCTTAGGACATGCCAAAAGCGGAATAGCCTAGGTAGGCCCTAGGCTAGGCCTAAGGCCCAACGCTTAAATTTCACTGTCATTGCGAAAAGCACAGCATGGCTACAAACTTTTACGGATAGCTAAACGTGTGCATACACATATTTGTTTGCGAATGAAACTTCCCTATTCATAAATTTGTATACATTCCGTTTACAAGGGTGTCGATCCATGGTTGAAAGAGTAGAAACAAATTGCAAAATAAGGAAGTCTGGGGATCAATGCCGTAGCCAGGATTATCAAACCAGGGAGATGTAAACATCTCCCTGATCAAACAGTGCAGGACAGTGTCAGGGTGGACCCACTTTATGCGTTAATTCACACAATGTGGACCTATTTTACGCAAAAATATGAAAAATCTGGACCCATTTTCTTAAATTTTGCCGATGTTAGGCTATATATGAGAAATCTGGACCCATTTATCAAAAAGTGGACCCATTTTATGTATAAAATTACATAATTTGGACCGATTTTTAAAAATGTGGACCCATTCTTTGTGGATGCATTAGAAAAATTGTGTGGGACTGTCCCAATAGCTGGCTAAGGCATTGCTGGATATGTAGACCTAGTCTTTGTGTGAGGGCCAGGGAGCTGTCTAGAGTCCCAGAGGGGTCAAGGGGAAAAATCCTGGGGAGGTCCAGAGGGTCACGTATCTGTGTCATCGTCTGTATATTGTGCAATAGAAGCTATATAAAATAATATAAAATTCAATTAACTATTAAAATTAAGTTTATAATGCATTTTGGTTTGGCTATAATGATTTTTTTTATTAGGAAAAATAGAATTGCTTTATATGTAGGTAAATGTAGATAATGTTGAACACTATATGGGTCTTCATAAAATATAAAAGAAATAAATCATTTATAGTAGAAATTATTTTATTTTTATTTTATTTTATTTCATTTCACAATCAACAGCGGAGAGCCCGCCACTTACAGAATGGAATAACATAAAACAAAGAGAACAATAATGAACAATCCAGTTACAATACACACAAAAAAGCAGTCAAAAATCTAAATATATAACTTAATTTTACCTTTAAACGTTCTAAATGAATCATAATAAATGTGACCCAAGCTCACAAACGGGCTGTAAACTCGTCCTCAGCCAAAATGAGTTTTTGTTATAGTGGCATAGAACATATCATTTACTTTAAAATGACAGTTAAATGAACTCAATCGGGTGTCTGGAAGCAAAGTTATGACTGTTTGAATAATTGTTATCTTATCAACTTTCTTAAATCAAGTTTTGAGGAAAATGCTTTTATTTTCAGCAGGGTTCTATTCATTTTTCATTAGCTCCCATCCGAAAATGGCTAAATTGAGGCTTGTTTCTCAATACAGTGCAGGGCGAGTTTACAGCCCGTTTGTGAGCTTGGGTCACAAATATCAATAGAATTATCTTTATCAACAAGAGAATTATACAATTTTGGTAATTGAACAACAAAACTAAATTTAGTAGCATTAACACAAGAAAATTTAACATTGAATAAGGAAAAACATTGATAAGTTTTAACAGATAAACCAAAAACGGAAATAAGAACCATAAACTCCATTAAAACAATTATATAAAAAAAGAGAGAATCAAGATAATTTAGAAATTAAAGTAGGAAGAATGATATAATATGCTCTTTTGCATTTGTAAAAAAGTAGGCCTACTGTATTAGGTAGATGTAACCCTGTTAAATAAGTTTACATCCTTCCAAAATGTTAAATGCAAAGAACCAGTAATAACCATTAAACTCATCAAAAAAAATAAAAATCATGTAGTGGTTACTAAGATGTAGGAAAAAAAATGTTTTTTCTTCCCCCCTCTCCCCTGGTTTTGGTTTGGGAATGTGCATCGCACAGGCAACAGACAAATTCATGACAGTCATGCATAATTGTTTTTTCCATTTGCTTTGAAGACAATTAATGTGATATCTCGTCCCTGCCTTTCCCCCCGCCGCCCCCCCCCCCCTTTTTACTTTGAAAATTGTGGGGGATGTGTCGCCTGTCCCCTTCCAATACAACAACCATGTTTACAACATACATCTTTTTTTTTTATTTTAGGGTTTTCTATCTCTGTTGGGAAACTCAATGCTCAAGTAGCTGGAAGAGATGCAGAATTTGTAGTATCAGGAGCACCAAGATGGAATGGCACTGGTGGTGTACTCGTATTGAAGTATGACGTTAACTCTAACTATCTAAAGATTCATCAGGGATTATTGGGTGTCAGCTTAACCGAATCTTTTGGCTACGAAACAGTTGTCATTGATATAAATGGAGATGGGTAAGAGTGGAATTTATTACTATGCTACTTTGCCCAAGATTTACTTTGCCAATCTATAGAATCCATATGTGTTGCCAGGTATTGCAAAGCCCTTATATTTTTGCGGCCCTTTATTTTCGCAATTTTACAATTTGAAATATTTTATTTTCTACAATATGATATATAACATATTGTTCTGACTTGTTTTTCCTATTTGGCTTTTCTTCAAAGCTTTGATGATATAGTTGTTGGAGCGCCCATGCATTATGATCGGAAGGATTTAATTGGTGGACGAATATACATATTCCTGAACAGTGGATCGGTAGGAGTTTAAAAAAAAATTTAATGTTGATTTTCAAAACTTTTCCCTAGTATTTAGCTATTATTATTCATTTAAACAGAATATTTTCTACAATTTTAGTTTAATGCAGATTATTTTTTTAAGCATGAGTGAGAGATGAGGTGGAAATATTTTTCTGTTATTAAAATCTCTGTTTTATGAATTAGTATAGGTGTTTTATCACTGTTAAAAAAAAATTATGCATGAAGGAGCAAATTAATGCAAGAAAATAAATATTGGCTGAGCTTGTGATAAATTTTTCTAAACAACTGTATAGAAGCCACTATTTGCTATATACTGTAAATGAGGTCAATTCCTTTCGCTCTTATTTAATCAACCTGGTGTGAGCAATCTCAGCTAGACATGGATCCTACAGACTTAATCGACTTCTGTCAACCCACACGTTCACGCCCAGCTTGAGACCTGCACTAGGCTTGAATGCTGTCTTAATGTAGCCAGAGATTGGTGTAAACATTTTAAAGCAAAAAGTTGTAAGCATATCAAAATGGCTAAGTCATCATATAGACAGATGTCAGACCAGAACACTAAATGTACATAAGTGGATATTATTGGACGGGATACACCAACAATAACCGACGAAAGTCTGAAAAAGTTATAATTCCAGAGGGTCCTTCTGGTGGTGAGAGACAATCTCCTACTGTTTTCTGAAGAGTGCAGTAAAATCTTCAACAAGCACACAAGGCCAATGGCTTAAATGTCTCATCTGAAAGACTGTGCACTTTTCTATACTTGCATTTCAACTTGCTTCCTGGAACACAAGGAAAACATCAGATGGAATTGAACTTGGGTACCAAAGGATTTCCCTTCTTTAGCGTACACAGTGTCTACCACTAGTTTAGCCGGCTGAGCTATGTTGCTCAGTGCATGAAATGGGATTGGAAAAACAGAATAATGATTGACTTTACAACCAAATGTCATAATAATGACTTTTATTTGCATACCAGAAATGGTATATCAAACAACTTACAAAAAAAAGTAGTCCCGTATTTATTACTGAACGTAGGCGTACGAGCTGTTAGCCCATCATAATAAGCCTCAGCATTGTGTGGTAGGGTGGCCAGTTACTTTCCACGCCACCTTTTTTTCGTTCCCATTTATACTCCTAGGTGGATGGAGACAAACGTAGATAAAGTGCTTTGTCCAAGAACACAAGAAAAATGCACAGTGAAGGTTCAAACTTGTGATCTCGAGGAAACAAAACTGCTGCGCCAATCACTCTGCATAAAAACTATATATATACATACAACACTGATAAAGTGGTTGATCTAGTGCCCATGACTTCCTCTAATTCACTTGCCTAATAATCATGTAACAGATTTTTTCTGTAAGTTGTGGTAAAAGTGCTATTCAAACTATCAAATTTTTATTTGAAAAATATTTTTTATAGATATGATAAGTGTTTGCAGGGCTAAACATAATGTCTAATATATTATGCAAATATTGGCTGCTCTAGATTCGGGGAATGGTGAAATCTATTGCCCTGAGGTGATGTGCAGACTGTAGCCAAGATAGGCTATGGTCTCCACATCAACTCGGGGCAATAGATTTTACCATTCCCCAAATCTAGAGCAGTCAATATTTGTTGTATATACATCATACATAAATTCTGCGAAGCCTAAAAATGTACTTCCTAGATTAGCCAAGGCTGGCTAGAGACCTACTACTAGTACATGATCAAAGAGTGTGTCTAGTTTTTGTTGCTTGCTTCTTAACACCAATCAAATGCCTAGAATCTATGTATGATTGATATATTTTATTTCACATTGAAAATACAGCTTACACATTTAATTTGGTCTAAATAATGAATTTTTCCTGATTAGGATGAAACATACTTCGGGAAAGCAGCGTACGGCAAATACGATCAGATTATTAATGGTCCATTGGATTCTATGTTTGGATTGGCTTTGGCCAATCTTGGAGACATGAATGGTGACAAAGCACAAGGTATTTAATTAATTACTATTTAAATGTTTTATATTTTTTTCCTAATAAAATACAGGTAGTCAATGGTTTTCATTCTCCCAGATTTCTATTTAACTATATAAGCAAATTACTATAGTGCACAAGTGGAAATTATTATACAAAGGTTAATGCATAGAACAACTAGGCCTATGATTACAGTAATCATGAATGAAGTTAGTAGGCTCAAGTGGCACATTTTGGCTCACGCATTTGAAAGAACCCAGGATATATTTCAAGACGAGTAGGGGGGTGCCCCGGTGTACTGGTCCATTCAGCCCCTGTTGTGAGAGCTAGTCCACACCCTGAGCACCTCGAGACCACTTCAGTGTAAAGCGCTATATAAATCTAACTACATAAAAGATTTAAAAAAAATTTTTATAAAAAATAATACAATTTTTTTTTAATTGCCAATGAATTCTGTACTGTAGAATTAGTTGTAGGAGCTCCATTTGAAAATAAGGGCGAAGGAGCAGTGTACATATATATGGGTAGGGAAGAAGGAAAGATAGGAAAACCGATACAGAAAATCACCCCTCAGACCCTAAATACAGACTTGAAAGGAGTGCAGCTTCCAAACATGACATTTGGCTATTCACTCTCTGCTGGTATGGATATGGATGAGAATGAGTTTCCTGACCTTTTGATTGGTGCATTTGAATCTGATTCAGTCATTTTGGTGAGGTAAGTTTGATAGATTTTATTGAAGGTTTCAATTGTAATATCGTTGGCGATTCTCAGATCTACAAATAAACAAATAGGAGGGTTACACCTTACTCCCCCCCCCCCACTCCTGCAAGTGTGTGCTTCTACGTTTTGTTGTAAATTGAATTTTCAGTCCACCTGATTTAGCCACTTTTGGTTTCGCCATATCTAGGCTTTTTTAATTTTGGTCTTCCACTGCGTTGCTTATTCTAAGCCACCATATTACCCCCACATGTCAGTGTAGGCCTTTTTCCATTCTGGCCTGTACATTAGTGATGTCAGTGCTTCCCTGGTTGGTCCATTATTTCCGAACAATTTGGCCCCAACAAACTCAGCCCCACCATTGCTGGAGCTGGGGTTTAAAAACATTCATTATCCCACCTCTAGATGCTTGAGAATGGAACTCTCAGGCCAACTACCTCCTGGCTTCAAAATTTGTAATTAATTTTACCTCCAGATTTTAACCTGATAGCTAGGTTGGTGTCACCCCTCCTAGTATTATCCCTGCCAGTGTTTCCCCCCTCGGGCTTGTAGCAATATGGCATTATTAATTGACAGTGTGGTGACTAATGTTTGATTGTAGATCGAGACCTATTATAAAGCCAGAGTTTGAAATCATTACTAAACCTGAAAATCTAACAGCACAAAGCCTCGATTGTCCTGTACAAGGCATTGACAAACAATGGTGAGTTTTAATGATATTGTTCTGTTTGATTTTGTTACTTAGTTAAAGATACAATTGTTATGACATTGCTATTAAATCTACTACTACTGTACTTGGGAATGGGATTTAACAAAGTGCAAGCTCAGTAGTTAAATCACCAGGCTAGCTGTCTCAAGGTTGTAGGTTCGATTCTCACCCGAATCACTTGTATTTAGTACGATAACACATCAGGTAGGGCAAAACATCGTTCCTATTAAATCTCATGACCAAACACAATCAGAATAGCATTGCAGTACCCGCTGCTACTTGGGAATTGGATTTAATACTAGCCACAAAGGTCTATTGGTTAAGACACCAGGCTAACTATCTGGAGGCTGTGGGTTCAATTCTCACCTGCATCACTTGCATTTAGTATGATAACACATCAGGTAGGACAAACATCATTCCTATTAAATCTCCTCTGACACAAACACAATCAGAATAGCATTGCAGTACCCGCTGCTACTTGGAGATGGGACTTAATAGCCACAAAGTGCAAGCTCGGTGGTCTAGTAGTTAAGACACCAGACTAGCTATCTGGAGCACATACACCGGCCGTTGAAATTGCTACCGTTACTACTGCTGCTGCTAATGCTACTATTCTACTATTTTTCTTTTTGTTGTTACATTATAAAGTATGTATGCCCATATATAGTGATGATGTGCCTATATATGGTCATGATGTGATGTCATCATGACCATATTTAGGCATGTCACATGTTTTTGTCAAATAAAATTTAATAGTCTGGACAGGCCTTTAGGTACTGTATTTATTTTATTTTAATTATAGTCGGCCAGTTGTTGTTTTTAAGAGATTATCCCTTTCATTTGTAAATGCACTTTTATTTGCTAGTTTGCCAAATTTTAATAATAATATTGTCACATATAGTATACATTTTATATTTTCAGTATAACAATAAAAATTGATATTACTTACTACTGTGCGGCATTGTACGAAGATATTCTCAGTAAGTAACATTGAATTATATACTGTATGCATGTGTGTTATATATTGGTAATAAATTTTATTAAATCAGTACAAATGTTGTGAATAATTTGTTTTTTTTCAGCACTGAACTTGATTCTTGAAGCAGATGTTACACGATTGGAAAATGATTTGCCCCCACGAGTTGCGTTTAAAAAAACTAAAGAAGATGGCCAACCATCATACATGCTAACGACTAATGTTGAAATTCACCAACAAGAGTCATATGTTTCAACTGGTGAATATATTTTAGTATTTGAGGTAAAGTTTATTATTTTTGTTTTTTTATTTGTGGTCTTTGTATGCATGATTCTGTATTTTAATTTCATTTCTGAACATTTTGATTTTTTATATCTGCCATAATAAACAGGGAAAATATTGGGGCTACTGGAAGCTTGTTCAATATGTAGTGAAAATGGTTAACATGAAATTTTTTGAGAAATAGATTTGCAATGATTGATTTTAAATGACATTACAGTATTTTTTTAAAAGTTCTTTAGTGCTTTTTATTTTAAGATTTGTTAAGTTCAGTACATTTTTATATCTGCCATAATAAACAGGGAAAATATTGGGGCTACTGGAAGCTTGTTCAATATGTAGTGAAAATGGTTAACATGAAATTTTTTGAGAAATAGATTTCCAATGATTAAATTTAAATGACATTACAGTATTCTTTAAAAAGTTCTTTAGTGTTTTTTATTTTAAGATTTGTTAAGTTCAGGACAAATTTTATATATGTTTTTCAAGTGACTCATTTAGATAATGTTATGAAAAGTACCACACAGCAAGTTTGGTTTTTCATACTGCGCAGTAGCAGTTAAGTGGTGATAGAGAGCCATGTTACCATATAATCTTGCGTACAGCATAAGACGTGGCTTAAATAGCAAATGACGATCGTAAAACAGCCTGGTGGTCGTTTTACACGTGCAACACATACAAATTTTTAAATTTTAAATCATGTTTGTCTAATGTGTGGATGATCTGTAACACGTAAATGTACTACTGAAATGAATATATTAATGTTCTTCTCCAGTAGAAATTCATTTTTGCTATCCTGGTTAGGATCAATAAGGCTTTATGATTACACAGTAACACATTTTGACGGTTAATTATGTGTTGCAGTTCCCCATTTACAGTGAAATTAAGGGGCATTTTTTTGAGTATATACAGTATGTATCCATTTTACACCAACAAAAATAAACACCTCCCTCAAATATCACCCTCAAAAAACCTTCTCAACAATAAATGCTCTGGGGATGTTTATTTGAATATACGGTAACTTGTGCTATTGCAATCTTTAAAATGTTATTTTCTTAATAGATATTTTTTCTGTTTTCTTTCCACAGAAACCACCAACAGACATCTATTCTTCTGTTGTTATCCGTGTGTCAGTAAGCCTGCCGGAGGTCAATGCTACAATGCCGGAACCAGGGGAAGATGTGCCTTCTGTAAATCCCTTTCCAATCCTGGATCCTAATGCTGCAGCCACAAAATTAGCCGTGGTAATTAATGTCAGATTCAGTTTATTCAGTCTAATAAAATGGAAATTACATGAGTACATTTTTCATTTAATATTTAAAATACTTTACATAAAAATACAATAAAATAAAATATGCACTACAAGATACATAATGCAATACAAGATAATACACCCAAACACAATCAATACGCCAACAGGGTACATTTCATTTAAATATTTAGAATACTAGAAAAAGACAATACAGTACAATATAAAAATACAAGATCCAAAAAAAAAAAACAACAAAAAACACCAAAACAATATAACAACACCTAAAACTTCCAATTAGGTTAAAATTAGATAGTAAAAGTAAATGAAATTATTAAACTGTACCGTGATTACTTTACTAGAACTTTGCTAGATTTATATCATTTTGATTATTTTATATTTATGATGATTTATATTGATAATTATGATGATCTTGGTTATACAAGATATAACTACTGTAGAAGATATTTTTTATTGTCTTTCAAAAAAAGATATTATCTGTTTCACAATATGAAAATGCCTAACTGTTGGTAACCCAGGCAGCATAAGCAGAATATTGATTAAATATAATGATATTTGTAAAATCTGTTTCTGATAGATTAATTTTACCAAAAGATGTGATCAAGATGATGGTAAATGCGAGACTGATTTGCGAGTTAATGCATCTTTGGAATTACCTAAGTAAGTTGTGAGATTTATCCACAATCACAATATACAGTACCATATATTGATTTATCCATAAAAATAACCTTACCAATCATGGTGGGACTGAGGTGGTCTGCCCCCTGTATCTGTCAAAATCCCCCCATAAGTCCTATCTATTTCAAATTCCTAGATCCGCCACTGAATGTATATAGTCAAGGAGGCTCATAATTGTAAGTTTAAGTTATTTTCATCATTTATTGTAACTTGTCCAAATTTAACCCTGTTTACGTTGTTTAGAGGTTCCGATGGAATACCAGTTTTTACGCACGGCATTCATTCGTCAATCAAACTGAAGCTAAATGTCGAAAACCTTGGGGAGGATGCGTACGATGCTAAAGTTATGATAGAAGTATCCGATGTGCTGATGTTCGATGGGGTATGTCGCTTATATTTCACTTTTTTTTTCAATCTCTTAGGACCAACTGAGACAGCATTGTACGACGCATCCTAGGGACAGTCTTGAGGTCATCTTGAGATTATTAATCAAGTTTGATATTACAACGTGATTGTCCCTGATGCAGACCTGTTGTCTTACTGTTTTACTTGATTCAGTTTTTAATGCTTCTGATTTCTTTAATTAAGCAATTCGTTGATTTTTTCATTTGTTAACCATGTATAGTAGTTTTTTTGTTTTTTTTTACATGTTCCTTAAATATGATGTATTTAGTAATTCTCTTATTGAATTTATACTTTTGGTTTCTAATTACTTTATGAATTGAATACAATCACTTTTCTCTTTACTGAAATGACTACATTTTTTCTTTACTATATCTTTATTTTTATTGGTATTTATCATGTATACCGCGTGTTTTACCTTATATACTGTATATACTATATTTTGTTTTAAACTAATTCTTTTCTTCTGACAGAGTACTGTGCAATTTTGTACTTTCCTTATTTTCGAAGATTTTAATATTTATAATTTGCCCTTTAATTGTAACCTGTGGTGGTTTTGTTTTTTTCTGATCTTGTGTGTGTGTTGCATGTTTGTATTTTTTCACAAGACTTTAGATGGCAATTTCTTTTTGCTGCTGGTTATAGTATAAGTTAATAAATGTTAAAATCGGTAGTTTATCATTAATTTTAAAATAATGTATATTTTTTTGTAGGACTCATCATCCCTTTGCGAACAAGATCCAGAAAACCCCTCCCGAGCAGTATGTAAACTTGGAAATCCATTTGAGGAGAGAGATCAGGTGGGACCACATAATTTACTTGATTTACCATGTTTTATTTTTCGAGCGATGATATTACTGTACATTCTCACGTGGCCATTAATATTTCTGGAAGTACAGTAATTGCTCTTGAAGCTTCTGTTTTCTATACAGCACCCTCAAAACTGGAATATAATTATATATTGGATAGAATCATTTTATTAAAGCCAGTAATAACTCTACCAAATATATTTATTAATACTTGGAAATTATTTAACATTTTTGTTTCGTTGTTTTGTTTTGATATTGATAATTGAATTAAATAAAATTCAAAATTCATTCAATTTTTTTTTTAACTAACATTTCTTGTATTTCATATTTTAAATTACCAAAGGGAGAGAATAAAGATGCACCAGAAAATATTATATGAATATGATTTTTATCATTATCCCCTTCTATTTTATGCAGAAAATGACTACAATAACTTTAACGAAAGGAGAGATTAATGCTAATCAAGGATTTCTTGATTTCAATATCACGGCTACTACGTAAGTTTATGTAATTTTAACAATCATTTTATAATATTAATTTATAAAAAAAATGGAATTAAGGGAAACAGTTTGGTGCAGCTAAAATAATTTGGTTTTCTTTAGGGTGTGTTCACACATATGGTGTAAGGCTAGCGCATGGCGTAAGCTAATCAATGAATTGAAATTCCAAAGTGTTTACACGAACGATGTTCCTGTATTAACGCTGGCATTAAAAACGTCAGCAACCTCTTTTGGTACATGCTAAAGACTATTATGAACCAGGAGCGTTACTGTTTGTACACGCTGTTGATGATGCTGTAATAAGTAATGTCACTGCCTAGTTCACACGCAATAAGCTGTATGTTACGCCCGCCTTACACCGTGTATGAACTTGCATCTTTGGCCGTGTTTCCGCAGCACTTGTCATCCCATAAATTAATGGAGAATGGCCATTTTGTTATTTTTTGCTGCGAAAACAGGTCCCAAATTATCCGATTAATTTTCGAATGAGAATCAGATAATTTGTCAGAAAAAGCTCTGAATAACGGTCATGAAAAAATTATTCTAGGTAGTTAGTTTCAAAGGAAACTAGTAGTTAGTTGGCCTAGGCCTAGGGCCCAGCTCTAGGCTAGTAATTTAAACCCTTGATAATAATAAAGTGAGTAAATTTTCCAAGCTTATTAAATATAAAAAAGCCTACAGTGGCTGCGTTCGTCGACGATGCCTGTCTGTACCCAGCGGCCTACAGTAGGTCTATCCCTACCATGATCGTTTACTGTACTGTAAAGCACATTAAACAAAGCAAGCATTCTCTTCATCTTCTTTTCAATCCCTATATATATTTAGAAGTCAAACACCATTGTGATAGAACATTTCCTAGGGTGAATAGTACCGAACGGTTTCGTTCTTAGCCTAGGCCCAGGCCTATCCATCTCGCGCAAAATAGGAGTCGCCTACTAGGTCAACAGAATGGATGTTTTGATGTTAAACACATTGTATTGCTGTAATTGTGCATGATGGGATAACAAATTTTAAGGGAATTTTAAGATAATTTATCGGAGAATTTATCGAAAAAATTACAAGTGCTGCCTTTGATGCCCTGATTGAACCCTGTCAGACGTTAACTCTAGTCCCTGGCAGCAAAACTTGTTAACAGCAAGTTTCACTGTGAACCTTAGGCATTTAAACAGGATTTAGACCACAGTACCAGTCTTTCATCTGGTTATCCACATTACAAGCTCATCGTGCTTCTTGAGAAATGTTAGCAAGATGCATAGGAATATTATCGAGTAGAGTTTAATTATACTTCATTTTACTAAAATGGATGAAGTATTTCTAAAAAATTTCTATATACATGTTTCTTTTCAAACATTTTCCATGTGTTTCCCCCCAGCACAACAAATGAAACAAAACCTGCTGATAACAGCTTGTTTTTAACAGCAAGAGTGGAAAGCTTAACAGATCTTATATTGGATGCGTAAGTAGCTGTTTTTGGGGTTACCAGGGAAACCGTTATAATGGGGATGTTTTTGACAATGATAGTTGGCGGTGGAGGTGACATTGGTGATGATGGTTACCTTGATGGTGGTGAAAGTTACAATGATAATGATAAGTGATACAGATGATATGGGGATGTATCAGTAGAAAGGTGAGGTTTGTAGATGAGGGAGGATGATGATAAAGTGTATGGAAAGTGGTATCTAGGAGGATGAAAACAATTCTTATGTTGGTAATGCAGAAATGATGTGTAGGATGTTGTGTGGAGGATGGGGAAGACGAAAGTAGTAATTATGACTATGTTGAGGATGGTGGTGGTAGAAGTACAGTATTAAGAATACCATGATGAAATATGTATAACTACTTTTGTTATTCAGGATACCTGACAAGCCACAGTATGAGGTTGGAGGTCAGGTCAGAGGTGAATGTGCAATGGAAAATTTGGAAATGATAGGAAGCCTTGTACAACAGAATTGGACGGTAGGTCACTCACAACATTTCAAGAGGTCAAGTAATAACATTTTGTCAAGAGGTCATGTTCTTGCTTCTTGCACTGTAGATTCCAGCCCCTATCTTACCGCTCGACCACTCAACATGACTCAACCCCTTTTTTGGTAGAGCAACCAAAAGGTAGTGTTGTATTTGATGTAATACTCTGCATGTCTTTGGGGCAAAGCCCATTTATCTTGTTCTTTCGATTCAGTGGAAGATCCAGAATTTTTCAAACAGGGAGGGGGGAGAGGCGGGGCGGTGGCACAACAGTTTCAGAATAGATAAATGAGTAGCATTTACATGCATTGAAATTTTTATAATTAAGTGGCAAAACGGATCCACGCCTGTTGTCACCACCCAGATAGGTGAATGGTAAGTTTGGATTCTGGTGTGCTGGTTACTTGCTGCAATATATGGAATGCGGCCCTGCGGAGTCTAGTACTGTATGTGTTTCATAGATCCTTGATATATTGACTAGAGTAATAGTAACATGGAGTGCATAGAGAAAGCTTATGTTAAAAAATGTCAAATAATTTAGGTTCTGTTTATAGAGAGTAGAAGCAGTTGGCACATTGGTTGTGGCTTGGACTCCCAACCTTGAGGTCACGGGTTCAAAACTCTCGTTGTGCAAGTCGCTTGTGTCCTTGGGCAAGGCACTTTATCTACGTTTGTCTCTCTCTACCCAGGAGTATAAATGGATACTCAGTGGTTCATTACTGGGGAAGAAAAACAGGCGGCGTGGAAAGGAACTGGCCACCCTACCACACAATGCCGAGGCTTTGTATGATGGGCTAACAGCTCATTCCCCTACATTCAACAATGAATATGGGACTACCTTTACCTTTATAGGGAACAATAAACAGCCTTATTTTTGTTTTTGTTGCTATCATTTTAACTGTTTTTATATTATTACTATTTTTTCTTTTGGCCTACAGTATTTTTTCTTTGGCCATTAATGCTAATAATTTTGATTTAGATTTAATTTTTTATCATGTAGATGGGTGACAGATATTGTGTAACCTGGATACTTTGTGACTTGTAATTTGTTTTTTGTCTCTGCTGCAGGTTTTCCAAAGCATTTCAGGTCTCAAAGTGTCCGAGTCGTGAGGTATCCTGGTAGAGTCGCCAGGGAGTGTGGGTTTTTGGAGGGTCCTGGTTACAAAATGTCGACATTTCCATATACTAAGAATAATTGTTGTATATTATGGTTTTTGGATTTCTTTATAGTTGTTAAGTGAATGTTAGCCTTACAGTACTGGTTTTGCTTTCAAATTTGTTTAATTTAACATTTTGGTTCTTTCCAACACAGACTTGTAGAAGAACAACTTAAGTTTTCTGATGTTAAAAAAAAGCTAATTATTATTAATATTATAAAATTGTTCTTCCTCTCATTTATTCCAGATACATAATGACGGACCCGGAATAGTCCCTCAAATGTTAGTCACTATCAGCTTTCCTTATGAGACCTTATCGGGCAAGTGGTTGCTGTACTTAACAGAAAAGCCCATTCTAAGCGGGGGATCTTCAAGTTACTGTGTTTTGCCTGACAATTCTGTTGATGTTCTAAATCTGACAGTAAGTACAAACCTCAACCAGCAACCAAGGTTTTAATTTATTCAGTCATATACAAAAATACATGAAATGCATCTTCCCGGGTAATTAACATAGAGTATAAGCACATACTTAAAAAAGAAGAACAGAAAAACCATACCCTTATTTCATAGATGAGCAAAGTGGCCATTAAATTTGGCCCTCCAACCCATTTCTATGCCCACTTCTGCATTTTGTCACACCATACAATGCTTCTACTTACGCCATACTTGGCCATACTGTGATAATAATAATACTAATACACATACCATTTGATGAGTTTTAGCAAAAGCATATACTTAATTTAATTACTGTGTAAAACACCAGACCGCTTAAGTTTGTTTTGGTTTTGGAGTATCAGTGTACGTCCCACTAGCTTTTGTGACGAGTTCAATCTATTTCTTGCTGATGTAAAATGCTTTAATTCTTGCTTTTTATACTTAGTATCCAAGAGGCAAAGATGAAAATGGACAGGTAAAAACATGCTTCCCAAGAAGTCGTCGCAACCGACGAGAGGTTGAGGCTTTCCCAACACCACAAGCACAGTCTAAAGAAAAGATAAAACTGGTAAGGATGCAGGGTTGCTAAAAGCCTAGGCATGACCTTAATGTTTGACAAATGAATTATGAACATAGACAGTGGCATATGTTAACATGGGGAAGCACTTTTATTCATCAGAACATCCACATTAAATGTGGTCACAATTTGTGGCCCGAAGGCCTATTTTTATGCGAGCCTTACAATTTTAAATAAAATTGTAAAGAAAAGTATTATATGCAATATATAAACCATTAAAAATTGAAAAAACAGCCATATAAATATAGAAAACAATGAAACACAATGCAAAATTCTTTGCTTATATATATTTATATATATATATTTATACATAAAAATGTCTATATATATATATACGGTATTTATATATAAGCAAAGAAGCAAGACCTCCCAAACAGCAGCAACTCAAACAGCAGTGACAAAAGGTTTGCTTATATATATGTTTATATGCACATAAAAATGCCCATACACATACCTATTAGCAAAGAAGCAAACGCCTCCCAAAAAAACAGTGTCAATCGGTGAATGCACAATTCTTTGCCTGTACACTAATTTGATAGTGCCAGCTAATTTTTGTGTCTTGTGTGCAGAAAGCTCAAAGCTGCTGCGCAAAACATTGCGATGAATATTTTGCACACAGCGAACCTAAAAAATCTCCATGACAGGCCAAAAGATACATTAAGTCTATTTTGTGAATGCTGACCTGGATAAACTGACTAATTGCTTGCATAATATTGAATGCCGATATGCTTGATATGTCACGATAGTCCAAAAGATGCATGAAATTCGGGATCAACATGCATTTTGTAAAATTAAAGAGAGATACTGTAGGAACACTGATACAGGATGTGGAACAAGCAAACCTGAATACATGGGAAATTGTGATGCAGTCACAAACTGAAAGGTTTCAGTTCATTCATATTTGTCTTAAAAACATAGTAATTTATAAGAAAAGAATTAGCAAAGAAACAAGCACAAACGAATATTTTCCGATTTATATTTAAAAAATTCAAACTATACTGTTTAACTTATTTCAAAGTACGTTGTTGCACAAGTTATTAATTTTGTAATGATAGACTTAGTGTTAATAAATTTTATTTTTTTTTTTAAACTTTTTCAGGATTGCAAATCTAATACTGCTAATTGCTTTTTAATTAAATGTTACTTCAATCAAGTCCAAAATGGTGATACATGTAGGATTGTCATCAATTCACGGCTATGGAATAGTACCTTTCTGGAGGTAAGGCTTAAGGGAAAACATTTTCTTACAGGATGGAACCATTATGTAGTCTATATGAAACTGAGAAAGAATTAGTATTGATTGAATGCTTAGGTTTGATTTGTGGATGTTCACTTACATGTACATTTTATTTTTTGCTTATCAGTTTTCAGATCTGAGACCAATCCATTGGTTTCCAAAGCATTTTTTCCTTTGTGTGTGTATATGTGGCAGAGCTAAGCCAAAGGAGGGTTTTCAAAATTGAGTTTTATACATATTATGAAACTAGACAGTATTATCTTCAAAATGTAAAAAAGGCTTTGAAAATCAGATTTTATGTCTATGCTAGGAAAAGCTCTGGTAAATACCATTTTTAGAGCATTTATCGATTATAAATCAGAGAAAGGTAATTGTAGGATGAAAGTTAAATGTTTAATATGTATGATTTAGAGATTTAAAAAATCGAAAAAAATTACCGATTTCACGTTTGTGTATTTATTGGAAATCTGCCTGTGCGACCTATCCCTCCTTTGGTTTGGCTCTGCCACATATACTGTATTGTTCTTTTGTCTGTCATATTTTTGACTTCTTGTGGAGGGCGCTTCAAAAGTTTTCATTATTATTATTATTATTATGATATATATGTGTGTGTGTGTGTGTGTGCGTGCGTGCGCGCGCCCGCGCGCGGCGATGATGATGATATATATTATATATATAATAGAATAACACTGCAGTTGTTAAAATAAACACCACACACTTTGACATAGTTTGAGACAAGATTCCAATTAATGACAGCAAAATGATAGCTTTATCGATATTGAAAGTGTTTTGACACAATAAATCATACATTACTACTAGGAAAAATGTAAAAGTATGGGTGCAAAGGAAACGAGTTTGTGGTTCCAAAATTACTTGGCTGGAAGAAAGCAAATAGTTATATGTTACAATAATTGCTTTATTAGATTTTTTATGGGGAAGGGCCCTTATAGATCGGGGCCCTGGAGCTTGGGGGCCCAGGTTTAATGGACCTGCTGAACCTACGCCAAAGGTTCCACAACATTCTTTTACACAAACATGGATAAATTACCTTAAAATACTCATTTATCCCTCTTGTGCTTTGTCCAAGTACACAATAAGACTTAGAATCCACAATTGCTCATTACATCATGGGGCTACAATTCAGAGTTAAATATTTATGCTTCCATCCTTTTTCTGGTTTAAGTGAATTTCAATAGCCTAGTAATTGGCCTAATAATAATAACAACAACAAGAGCACTCAGTAAAGAGCATATCTCGACCCACTGCTAATCTCTTTCTATTAAAAATTCCTCAACAATATGTACTTTCCAACCACCAACCACAATATCTTTTAAAAAAATTACACCAACACAAAAGTTTTATTTACATGAGTTGTTTAGTTTTGAGGTAACTGATCCGCGACGTTTTGCTTTGAATGATCCGTAATCGACACAAGAGATCTGTACAGCTGTTTTTGAGATATTTTGAACACCAAAAACACCCAAGACCTTAAAAATTTAAATGACCCTCCGAATTTGGATCGTGACCAACACTTGATAATTCCTTCCTTGTAACTTAGTTAAATTTTCACGAAAATTTACATTCATATCAGTTGATAAGTTTTTGAAATATAATATATAATATATATATATATATATATATAATATTTTCATTTAAATGGTCCTCATATCCATACCTTACTCCAGACTGTCACCAAAAGTTAATCATTTCTTTATTGTATTATACCTAACACTCCCTGTAATTTTCAGTTATGTCTGTGCAGCCGTTTTTGAGATATGTCGTACACAAAAAAACCACACTAAAACACTAATACACACACACACGCACAAACTTATATGACTGAAAACATATATTTTGGTGGAGATGATGGTAATAATAATAATAATGATAATAATAATAATGATAATGATAATATTATTATTATAATTATTATTATTATTATAGCAGTAGTATTAGACATCAACGATAATAATAATAATAATAATAATAATAATAATATAATAATAATAATAATAATAATCATAAAAATAATAATAATAAGAATAATAATAGCACTCAGTAGAGAGCATATTTCCGCCCATCATCAATCTCTTTCTATAAAACAAATCCTTAAAAAAAAAAATTAGACTAACACGAAAGTTTCATTTAGATGAGTTGTCCCTACTCCGGATTGTGACAAAAATTTAATCATTTATTTACTGTACCTTGACCAACTCTTATACAATGTTTAAATTATACCTATTGATTTTTTAAAGAGATGTTTAAGTCTGGGACTTCAACAATTTAAATGACCCCTTAAATTTACACCCTTAACTATATCATCCCCAACACATAATGATTTCTTCCTTGTAACTTTCATTCAGGTTGATTGACCTGTTTTGGAAATATCTGGTGTAGATTGTTTGCCCTTAAATCACTTTAATTGGTCCTCACATGCACCCCACCCTAGATTGATACTAAATATTAGGAGGCCCATCCTTGATATGGTCTATTCTTCGGCAAAGCATGGAAAAGTTCCTAGCATGGGAAGTGACCAAAGTGCCGGCCGGAAAAACCCAGTGCACAAAGATAGGGAAAATGACAACAGAAACAATTGCTTTTCCAGTAACTGCTGGGAAAAGCCAATAATAATACTGATAAAAATTATAATAATAGAAAATATAGATAACGTGACTGAAATGCACTGATATTTGTATCAGGTTTGTTTATTTGGTGTTTATGGTCGATTTAACCATAACAAATATTTTTATTAAAACACATTTGAAAAAAAACAACTTTAATTTATGTTTCCTGATGGTCATCGCAAGATTGTACTAATTTATGTCACCGACAGATTGAATTATGTACATAATTTGGCCCATGTTGAGAATGGAGGCTCTATATTGAAGGATGGCAAATGTTAAGCAAATTTAAATGATGTTTCTCCTTGTAAAATATGGAAACTGAAAACAAGCAATTCATTTATTGAAAATAATGCATTATTGTATTTGGATAAATATATCAGTTAAAAAAAAATATCCTTGTTTTTTTAGGATTATATAGATCAACAAGATATAGATGTAATAGTGCGGGGAGGAGTGGAAATAAGCAATGGTTCTTATATAAAACAAATAGACACAAAAAATGATTATTATCCGGTAAGTATTGGAATGTGTTTATAAGACTGAAAAAAGTTTTTGAAAATGAAAGATCATTTATAACTCGGAGGTGGTCCAGTGGTTGCATCTAAAATTACCCGATGATCTTTCAAGGTCCCTGACAAATGGGCCAAATTTTCCGACGGAGCCAATTCTCAGTCTTAGTAAATTTTAAGAATAGGCAACTCGGATGGCCGGAAATGTTACACTTAGACTGTAAAATACTTTCTTAAAGCAGTTTTCCATCACAAAGTAATTGGCTTCTCCCCCAATTAGTGCTGTGCCCCTGGCCCCCTCTGTTGGCACCGCTACTGAGCTGGTCTTGTATAGATATATATGTAGACAATTAATCAGGATGAAAGAATGCATTATATGAAGCAGAAATCTAAATCATAACAATGAAATTGCAGAAATATATAAATACAATAAATAAACAAATCTTTAAAAAATATATAAATAAAATAAGAGAGAAATGTAAAATGGATTGGTTTTTTTTGGTTTTTTTTTTGCAGTTGACTATTAACGTAGTTAGAGATTTCTCATCTGTTATCACCCCACCCCCTATAAAATGGTGGATCATACTTCTAGCTGTGATTGGTGGCCTGCTGGTTCTTATTTTAATTGTTCTCTGCTTGTGGAAGGTAAGGCAATTGTTTATTAATGTTATCAATGTTGTTGAAGTGATAATTTGAAAGCTTTCCCAACAAGTTTAGACATTTTTCTAGACACATATACAGTCCTAGTACATATCACTTGTACTATACCTCGCATGGACTTGTAAGAGATAATCAAGACAAATGTTGGTATTGTGTGAAATATGGAATGTGCATGTTGCAGGGGCGGATCCAGAGATGTCTGAAATTGAGGGTTGAAAGGTGGGACCAATCGAGATAACACTACCCTAGGGGTCCAGGGCTTTCCCCGAGAAATTGTTGTTTTGTAGATGCCCGAAAAAAAACAATTATTTCTTTTTCCTTCCTTTTTTTCTCTCTTTTTTTCTACATTCCAAAAGGGGTGGAGCAGGTGCAGGGGCTGGCCCGGCCGCACCCCAATATCCGCCCCTGTGATATATAACGCATTGCATATTTCGGAATTGAATAGAGTCTCCTGGTTTGCTGTCACACTGATCCAAACCTAAGTTTACTTAAAATGAAAAAAATGTAAGATCTTGATAATCAATTAGGAACTACAGAAAAGAGAGGTTCATCCAAGACTATTTTGATTGACTTTTACAGTAACTTTCTTATGAATGGTCGATTGATTCATGTTGTTTACAGTTTGGAATTGAGGCTTCACCTGAAGTCGCTTGCTGCCAGAAGATTGATGTAATAAGACCTCCATAAGTGGTGAAGGTCACATTTCCAGGCATCTTTCCCCCTGAACCTATGCAAAGCGTTCTTTCAAAAAAATTGTTGTGCCTATTTATTTGTCTGTGTTAAGCTCTGTCCAGACCTTAAAATTATGTTTGACAAAAATGTTTATGTACAAGAGTACAGTTTATTCAGGGAGAAACTTTTCTGCATGCTTCAGTTAATCAGTACTGTATTTCTGTATATTTGTGACTCTTTCGTTTTCACTCTCACTCCACTCCTCTCTTTCTCCTCTCTTACTACCTTTGTCTCCCTTATTTAACTAAGCCTGGTTTCCATGAAATTGCTACACTCTCACTACAATGTTTTCAACATGTAGCAGTCTCTGACTAATCAAGAAAGCTCGCCAATTTTGACTGACCAATCAGGGATGCCAAAAATTGTTAGCAATAATGTGTAACAATTTTATGCCTCACTCTTTTTCCTTTCTCTTCTTTTTTTTTTTCCTTCCTAATTTTGCCTTGCCGTCTACTTTCTGAATATATTCTTTGTATATCCCTCTTATCTCTGATTTCAAGGTTACGTTCTCGATCACTTATTTCATTTTGTTGGGTTTATCCACTGACAAGGGTTAACGCAGTAAAGTTTAGTTTTCGGTGAGAAAGACCAAAAAAAAAAAAAACCCGACAAGTTACCCTTGTGTGTGGGGGGAAAAAAGAAAACAACTTCCAAGGGCAACACAGTAAAGTAAAAAAAAAATCAATAGAAATCATAATAATTTGTTTCTATAAAAAAAATATTATGTATATAGATACATTAAAGTAAATCTTCATAAACAAAACACATCAAACAATCAAATATTGCAAGAAACCGACCAATCACTGTAGGATTTAAACATGGATTTTAAGCTTTTGCTTATGTTTGCAGGTTGGATTTTTTGAAAGACACGGCAATTCACCAGTAGGTTTGCGTGTTGTTAAATGTTCCACATATGTTTTTTGCACAAAACTACCATTTTTATTGGATGATGTAATTGTTTTGCATATCTTTACTCAACTATATATTAAAAAGGTCTGGGAGAAAATGGTTGTGCATGTAACCATGAGAATTGTCTTCATAAATATGCTTCCAGTACAAAAGGTTATCTGTCGATTGCTTACCAAATTATTTAATTAAATGCCTTCGGGTGATATGCCACTAAATTGCAGGTTATGTAACAATACATACACATTAACAATAAATTATAGATAACTTGATGGCAGAAATTATCTATTTATTGTTACTAATACACATTATTAACAATGAATAGATAAAAATCTGTCCATGTGTTTGTGTGTATTTATTTATTGTTACAAATACACATTATTATCAATAAATAGATAAAACTGTGTCATCATTTATTTGTGTTTATTTTGGATGGTCGCCAAAACAAACCCAATGTTGCTGCAAAAGTTCCTCTACAGCAATCAAGTTGATTGATTTATTGCTGATAATGTTAAGATATGTAAATCAACTAGTGCATTTTATGTCAGGTGTTAGTATGGTGATGCAAGTAAACTTGTCTTAAAAGACCAAATTAGTTCACGCAACAAGGCTATGCAAACATGTTCAAGATTTCCATCAGGTTATTTCACTCCATTTCCGATGTTTATTAAATAAATATTTACCAAGGCTTTTTGATAAGTCACTCTAGGATAAAATGTACAAGGAAATAAATTAGTGTTTTAAAACTTTCAAAATTTATTTGAGCAGAGACAATATTATTGTGCGAAAAAAACTGCCACCTACAGTAGCAGTTTGTTTTACTGTTGTGTTATACCCACTATAACCACAATGTGTTGGTGACTAATTTGGTCTATTGTACACTTTCAGTGGTGTCAGCCTTAAATAATGTTATGTATAGTATATATCTATTGTTTGTTTTATTTGGATTGTCACCATAACAACAAGATATTGAAGGCAAAAATACCTCTGTGACAATACAATGCACATTCATTTATTATCTTGTTTTTCTTTCTGTATTTTGTACGTGAACTCACCAAATTTTTGTGTGCTGCTAAAATAAAAGTGTATGTTCAGTTGAATAATCAGATCATCTTACTATAATGCAACAATACACAGTCCAATTATTATGAGGTCATGTTACTATTATCAGTGGATTAGTCACTGAACTAAAATGTTTTTTTTAATATATAAAATTATGATATTGCGTTACCCATACAATTAAAGATATATTTTTTATCTAAACTAACATTTTATTCCTGAATAATATTAAATATTCAATTAACATTTTTAATTTGTGCATGTCAATGGCCTAACTTATGATACCACATAAAATTACAATATTTAATAATTTCATTATAAAATATTAACAATAATTAAATGCTTGCAATACACCACATAGATGGATAGTTCTGTAAGGAACTGTTGTTTTGTTGAGAGTGTTTCGCATCAATGTTTCGATGAGTTGCTTCAATTGTCATTAGCAGTGGTGGCACCAGCGTCTGAAATCTGGTGGGGGTGGGGAGGGCAAGTGAGGTGAGGGCAAGTGAGGTGAAAAGTAAAATTTAGGGGAGAAATATTCTGGGGTGGCCCGAGGCTCCTGAAAAATATGACAAATTAGGGTTTTAGAGGCATATTTAATTAATTTTGGCAAGACTTCCCAATGGTTTTTATTTGTTTTTGGAGGTGGGGGGGGGGGAAAGCCAAACTCAAACTTTAACAAAACTGTACTATTTTGAAAAGCGGTACTGCGCTACTGAAAATTCTATACAGTCGTAAGAAAGAATAAATAAAATATATAAAGTGGCCGAGATTGGCACAAGACCAGAACTACCTTCAGCTTTGAATATAGGAAGATGGAAATGTATTAATAGAGCATACAATGTACACAGAATGTCTAGGAAATTTATATTAAGCAAATTAGTATTATTAATAATACTAATTGCTTAGAATTTAAATAAAAAATTTAAATCAAAAACTTTTTAAACATTAATAAGTTATAAAAAAAATTAGTGTATAAATATAAAAAGAATGAAGGAAGAATAGGAAAGATACTCATAGCGACTCAAATTGGTATGGACAAGTATTTAACAATGATATTCGCTCATTATTATATTTTATGTGTTTGTAATGAATTTTAGGCACTAATCATAGGTCAAAGTGCCTAGCCTATCACATTTCATACATTCGATATTTATCTATTCTTCTGATCAAGTGTATGTTTTTTTTTTTTTTGTATTTAAAAAAAAGGAAATTGTAGTTGATAAAAGATTCAATTTTTTGTCTAAAATAACAATGAGTGTATTTTTCAATTATGTTGTGGTTTTTATTTTCAGTGTGGATTTTTTGAAAGGAAAACCATGAACTATCAGTATGCCACGGTTGAACAAAAGTCTTCTGGTCGTAAAGGAAAGAAGGATAAAACATATATGGCCGATGATGTTCATTATACTGGTGTGGGTGGGTATGAGTAATGACCAAGCAAATAAGGAAAATCCACTTTCTATTGGTACTTGACAATGCAATGCAATCTGTCAATTTTCTGGGAATTGTCAGTATTAGTACCAATTGATTACATTCTCTACGGAATTGCTTCGGGTGACAGTTGTGGGCACAGTGTGTGCTGACTTTCTGTTTACATGCCACGGCAGTGCCTTAGACTTTCAGCTAGATGAATTGTGATCCTGGCTCTGGCTGTCTCATAGAAACCCTGAAAAAGTGTAAACTTAATCAGTGTGTAAAATCAATTAGATTTATACGAGTTCAAAAATCGTCCCCATTATCTTGTCATTAGCTGAAATGTAAAGTGTATGAGAAATTTGAAGTTAGCCAAAGATAAGATTTGTTTTATAAATTAAGATTGTATTTTGTTCTCATTTTTAGAAAATCATTGCAAATTGATTGCCACAGTCATTGTCATTATCATCATTATTATCATCTGCATCATCATCATCATCATCATCATCATCATCAGCAGCATCAGCAGCAGCAGTGGTGGATTCAGGAATTTGAAATAGAGGGTGCCCAGGGAAGGACTTTCACAAATAGGGGTAAATACCACCTCAGCCCCACCATGGTTGGGGAGATAAAACAAATTATGATTATGCGACCTCTAGGTGGGTCGGAAATGGCACTCTCAGACTTAAATTTGAATATAATTTTCATTTTTTTCCATTTTCTTTATAATATTCATAAATTTAAGGAGACTGGTCTGGCTGAAGCCCCTTGAATCCATCACTGATCATCATCTCCAACATCCTTATCTCAATTTCCATCAACAGTGCCACAATCATATCCATCATTATCATTTCTTTATTAACATCACCATGATCATATCTATTAATGTTTCACACCCCATCATCTGCATCATTATTTTCACCATAATCACCAGTATACAGTGAATGTGAATCATTGTCAAAGTATACTTTCACCATTGCTGCTTCGGTAACTGCCCTCATTTCACAAAAATACTTTCTGGTTGGTGGGGGTGGGGGAGCCAAACTCAAACTTTGTTAACAAAACTGTACTATTTTGAAAAGCAGTACTGCGCTACTGAAAATTCTATCCAGTCGAAAGAAAGAATAAATAAAATATATAAAGTGGCCGAGATTGGCACAAGACCAGAACTACCTTCAGCTTTGAATATAGGAAGATGGAAATGTATTAATAGAGCATACAATGTGAATCATTGTCAAAGTATACTTTCACCATTGCTGCTTCGGTAACTGCCCTCATTTCACAAAAATACTTTTGTCATTTTCTTGATAACCAAAGCAAAAAAAAAAGCCTGTAAAAAAGATTTTTATAATTAAATTAGTGTTTGAAATTTTGATTTTGATAAAAGTAGTTTTAGAGTTTTGTTTATGTTCATGGTTGATACATTTGTGAACTGACACTCCTGATGCTCAAGCATACACTATCAGAGATGGTTTAATCAAATATAATTATTTGAGTCTGACAGATGAATATCTGATGGTGTATGCCTGGCTTTAATGGAAATCAAAATCTCTCAATGATGTTTATAGAAATGGTGTAAGATATATGTTAAATAAAAGGAAATATCATCCATAATTATTATTTTTAAATAGTAATATTTGGATTTTTATAAAATTAAGTTATACTGCCACCCTATAAAAAATGACTTGCTCAATTATCAGAACCACATAAGCTACCAAATTAATAACTTCCAGATGTGAAAAAAAAATTATGTTTTACTATTACAGTATTTATAGTATTTATGAGCATTCATAAGTTCTCTCCCAAAAAAATGTAATAGTACATACTAAATCACAGACCCTAGAAATGGTATTATTTAAGCTTCAGATAATTAATAAATAAAATCCCCTCCCTGTTTCTTAGTGGGCCTATAAAGCTAACAACTAATTTAAATATGCAAATTAAGCAATTCATTTTTTTAAACAATATTTAATTTTATATTTGATTTAGGTGGTAGTATGATTATTAATAAACATCCTATGCAACAATTATTTCAATCTAAAAAAGTTCTTAATGCATTTATTACCCCTGAAGACAAGACTTTAAGTGCTCCTGACTTCAGTATTTTAGAAACTTTATCATGTTTAACAAGTTTTAATGTGTATATTTAGTGTGCAAATCTTTAATCTCTCTGTATTAGTTGTTTATAATATGAATATAGGATATAAATTGATACATAAATGTGATTTAATCAAAACTAACCCACTTATTATTTTTGTTGTTTACATTATTAATAATAATTTCATATTTTGTATGTGTTTGCTTCAAAATAGAAGTGAATGTAAACACTAAAGTAACTTGTTCCCATAGTAATACAGTAGTATATTCCCAGTTTCCCATTCCCAGTCAATTACACTGTATTAAATTGATGGCCATTTTAAGTCAGCAGTGCTGTTCAGGGCTACATTTGTTTAATATTGTTTAATAAATAAATATATGAACCACATGCTATGATAAACTATATAGATGACATCATAACTGAGGGGGTGGATAATAGCGTTCAATTCTCGTCTTGATATATGTACAAAAGTCAATATTGAGATAATTAATCACAAGAATGCAAGTATCTCTATTGAAATCCACTTTGGCTGACAATTGTTGGCACAGCTTTTGGATTGAACCCACGGCAGGTTGATGGACTTTGTTTGAATTTGGCTGTATCAGAAAAAGTATAATCATTGTTTAAAATCTTAGAATTAATTGAGGTTCAAAAATCGTCCCCATTCTTCTGTAATTAGCTGAAATGTAAAGTGTTTGAGAAAAGTCAAAGTTAGCCAAAGATAACTTTTTTTAATTAGTTAATTGTACAATACAGTATTTTGTTTTCATCTTAAAAGAAAACATTGCTAATCGATTGCCACAGTCAGTATCATCTGCATCATCATCATCTGCAGTGGCGGATCCAGGAATTTGAAACAGAGGAGGCCCAGGGAAGGACTTTCACAAATACAGGGTCCATACCACCTCAGCCCCACCTTGGTTGGGGCTGAGAATATGTATGATTATGGCACATCCAAATGGTGGAAATGGCACTCTCAGACTTAATATTTAATTTAATTTTTTTCCATTTGCTTTACTAATGCTTAAACATTTAGGGGGCCCTTGATCGGCTGGTGTCTCTCAAACCCCATCCCCATTCCTTTAAATCCACCACTGATCATCATCACCTTATTCTCCATCATCTTCATCAACAGTGATCCACAATCATATACATCATCATTTCATTGAGGACCTTTTTATATTGTTGAATACATAAACCACATGTTATCAAATCAAATCATTTATTGACTCTATACAGACACCATTTACATCAGTGGCACTCAGGAGATGCATCAATCATAACAAATAACTTAAAAGAAAACAACTAAACTAAAAAAATACATTAAAAAGCACTTTAAAACTGTTTGAATATGCATATAAAATTACTAAATATACAAATACAAATTTACTGTATACATATATATATACACACATACAGTATATAAATATACACATGCATACACACATATGTACATACACATGATATTAATAATGTTATGATATTCTATATAGATGAACAGTTGAGATGTACAGTAACCACACAAATCCTGATCCTCCCTGTGCAGCCCATTAAAAATCGGAGCAAATAATTAGAAGTGGTAAAAATCACCTTATTTTTCTACTTTTTCCCTATATCACACCCCTCCCACTTTTACTGACCCATCAGTCAATCAACCCCCCCCCCCGACATCAATACGTATACTACATATACCACAGCCTTATTTAGTTTAGATTTAGTAGGTGTGTGTTCCTTGTATGTGTTGTATATAGCTAAGAAACTAGCAATATGTTAAAGTACTACATCATAAAATTAGCAAGCATTCATGTACATATTATGTACATTATTAACATTGATTTTTTTACAAAATGAAAATTAATAACATTTAATCACAATGTTTTAGTGTTCATATTTAGCTATTTCTGCTTATTTTGTAATTTGTTGTTAAAATTTAACATTGATTTTTTACAAAATTAATAACATTTAATCTCAATGTTTTAGTGTTCATATTCAGCTATTTTGGCTTATTTTGTAATTTGTTGTTAAACTGTGTTTGTTTTTTTTTGTTTTTTGTTTTTTGTTTTTTGTTTTTTTTTTTGCTTAATTTATTTTTTTATGTCGTGCTTGTTCGTGCCAGTGGGTACAATTTCAAATATAAATCTTATATTTTGTAATCCAGACAATAATTTTCAAAAGCACCATGCCCCATGTGGGATGAATAAAGGTTTTACTGTATTCTATGTATTGATACTGTCTTTGATGTAAGTCCCATGTGAATCGGTGGTAATAATTCCTTTGATCACAAGCTCTGAATCACTCACAATATATGTTTAGTATTTTTTTTTGTAGGACCCTGTTTTTTTTTGTTTTTTTTTATTAATCTCCACCGGGTTGAAAGCAATCTTTATACACCTACGATAGGTCTATTGATGATTGCAACATTGTGTAAACAGGTATGACAACGATCGCCAAATGACTTTTCATTAAAAAATCAACACTGATTTAATAAATAAAAAAATAACATGACATTACATCTGTTGAATAAATAGGGGCACGTTGCAAAACCAGCCAGAAAAATAGGTCTAGTGTTAACGGAATATTTCAGCGATTTTGCATCATTTCACAAATTCGGGCCGGATTTGGATTTGATTTGGTTCCTATAAACATACATACAGATAAAATACAGTGATAAAAGATGCAGAAACAAGAAAAACGTAAAAAAAAAAAGTGTAATGGGCTTTTCTCCATTACATATCCACTTTCAAAAATAAAATATATGTACGGAGGGACTTTTACAGATGGATGGTAGACAACCTCAGCTCCACCATGGTTTGAGATGACGTAAGAAAATTTATGATTATAGCCCCTTCATGGTTCTTCATTAATAGACCTTTCTGGAGTGTCAATCAAATTTAGCAACTGACCAATCAGAACAGCGCTAGGAATACGCACGCGTCTCACAAACGCACGTGCTCGTCTGTTTTCACACTCAAATTTTCTTTGACAAAAACAATGTGACAAGCCTATATATAGTAATGCTATGCCTATATATGGTCATGCTGTGATGTCATCATGCTCATATATGGGTTATATCACACTTTTTTGTCACACAAAATTTGATAGTGTAGACAGAGCTTTACACTGCCGTCTTGTGGGACCTTAGCAACAATATCCAAGGAGCTTAGCGGAAAGGTCCATTTGTTTGAAGGGCCAAATTATTTTTCGAGTTGACCTCGCGGGCCAAGATAATCCCCGGCATGTTAAATGCAATCGTTATCGTTATGTTATGTCTATTTAAAGGGGTTTTTGGCAATTTCAAATTAT